CCATTATTCTGGCAGCATAACACTATATATTGCTGTGCTGCAGTATGCAATGTAACTGCACGTTTGAAATTGTCCAGGTGCCTGGCTTTTTCTGCTTTAAATGTGATGTGAAGATCTGGGCTATAGTCCTGTACAACCAGAGTATAGAATTGTCTTAATGTGCATTAATGTTGATAGGCAAATCTGACATACAGTATCTGCCCTGGGCATGTGCCAAATGCCCAAGGCAACATTGGTCTTCAGTGTAGTGTACTCCTACCTTGATGGTCAGTAGTGTAGAATCCCCTTACATTGGTCTTCAGTGTAGTGTACTCTTACCTTGATGGTCAGTGATATAGAATCCCCTTACATTGGTCTTCAGTGTAGTGTACTCCTACCTTGATGGTCAGTAGTGTAGAATCCCCTTACATTGGTCTTCAGTGTAGTGTACTCTTACCTTGATGGTCAGTAGTGTAGAATCCCCTTACATTGGTCTTCATTGTAGTGCACCCTTACATTGGTCTTCAGTGTAGTGTACTCATACATTGATGGTCAGTGGTGTAGAATCCCCTTACATTGGTCTTCAGTGTAGTGTACTCATACATTGGTCTTCAGTGTAGTGTACTCCATTGATGGTCAGTGGTGTAGTGCACCCTTACATTGGTCTTCAGTGTAGTGTACTCCATTGATGGTCAGTGGTGTAGAATCCCTTTACATTGGTCTTCAGTGTAGTGTACTCATACATTGATGGTCAGTGGTGTAGTGTCCCCTTGCATTGCTGGTAAATGTAGTGTACCCTTATGTTGATGGTCAGTGGTGCAGTGTCGTCTTAGATTGGTGGTCCATGTAGTGTCCCTTTACATTGGATACCATGCCTTTAACTCAATGCAGCAATGTAAACAGGCCCTGAAGCAACGTACCTGCGTTGTAATGTGCTGCATCACACAGCAACCCATGGTATTGTGTTACGTTACAAAAAAAAGGGTCATATGTGATGTTAGGCACATTAGGGTAGGGCACGTGAATGCACAACATAATGCACGTTAACGTACAATGCACTAAACAAGCCTTTACTGTGGGTCATGGAAGGAAACTACGGGGTAATGGCCTTTCTCGCAGAGGTTGAGGACTGCTGCCTCATTATGTTTTTGGCCACATCTTAAAAAATGCACATAACTTGCATTTTTCAGGTGCTCCCATTGAAGTCTATGGGACCAAAAACACAATTCAGACAAAAAAAGAAGCTTGTGTACTTTTTAAAGCAACGGTCCCCAATCACACTTGTAAACTATGACACCACATGTCACTTTATACATGTTGTGCATTCATTTCAATGTGGCAATGCGTGTTGTGCATTACATAGTTACATAGTATATTTGAGGTTGAATAAAGACATAAGTTCATCAAGTCCAACCTATTGCGTCTGTGCATTTATGTTTGAGCAGATGTGTGCGTGTGTGAGAGTCCATGTATGATTTTGCTCTTTAAGAGTACTTGTACCCCTTTAAGGCCCCGTTCACATTGAGCGATTTATCGCGCGGTAATTCCCGCGATATCGCAGCTATTTACCGCGCGATATCGATCTTCAATGCTTTGCAATGGGGCAAAGGGTCCTGCTGTCGCGGGTCGTGTGTCGCTACAGCAGGACCCTTTTTGGAGCGGATTTTTGATTCTAGTTTCTTGAATGATTCAATTAATGTTGTGTTGTGCATTAATTTCTGCGTGCGGCAAAGATGCCATGTACCTTCTTAAGCTTTGACTTTTGTTTGCGTGTGTGAAAAATGCACAGCTTGCTTGGGGCTTCATTAACAATTGGCATCTCAAGTGTGACCCGTGTTTTTCATGCGTATTGTGCCAAATTGTCGGATTTTGTGCGTATTTGACACCCACAATAGTGTGAATGGGGGCTTAGGCTGCAAGTGGCGACACACACAGGTGTGAATGGACACCATTGAAAATAATTCTTCATGTTTGGGAAGCACTTGACAAAAACGCTCAGGCATGAATGGTGGCCTTGTAATAGAGAATGTGTAAACATTGTTTCTAAATAAGTCCCCGTTTACACTTGAGCGGAGCGTCTTTGGCCGTTGTTTGATGCATCTGTACAGGCATTTATGTGCGTTTGAGACTTGAGCAATTTATTATTGCTTTTAGCCAATGAGAAACTTGTTACTAGGCAATAAAAAGCAGAAAAAACACTCTTCAAAGTCTACTGGGGCCAAAACGCTTGATTCAGCCCCAGAAGAAGCTCATGTACTTTTTAAAGGGGGCAGGCATTTTGCTACAAGCAACAGAACTCTAAGGGATCATTCACACTAGCCTGTCTCCTAGGGCTTAGGTTCTATGCACACTTGTGGCTTGCGTGAATGCACGATGCATGAATGCATGTTTGCTGCATTTGCAACATGCCAGCAAAGAGTAGCTCATTCATTTCAACAGGCTGTCCTATGCGCGGCAAAAGACATTTTTTAATCATGCATTAATGTGCGCACCAAGAGGCATGTTTTGCCTGCTGTTTGGAATATCATTAAGATTTTTGATTGATGTTAAGTTAACCCTGTGCGCCAAGAAGCGCATTTTGCCTGCAATGTTTGGGGTGCCATTAACAAGCAATGGCACTGAAAGAGAAACACGTACGTTTTGTGTTGCAGGAACGCTTGCAAATGTGCACACTTTTGCACGTGTCAAGTGTTAATGGGGCCTCAGGCAAACGAGCTACAAAACACATGGGTGTGAATAGTGGACTTGTAATAGAGAAGGTGTAAACAGGTGTAACATGAAATTGGTCTGGTTTAATAGAGAAGGTGTAAACAGGGTCTGAGTCTGGTTGAATAGAGAAGGTGTAAACAGGGTCTGAGTCTGGTTTAATAGAGAAGGTGTAAACAGGGTCTGAGTATGGTTTAATAGAGAAGGTGTAAACAGGGTCTGAGTCTGGTTTAATAGAGAAGGTGTAAACAGGGTCTGAGTCTGTTTTTTTTAGAGAAGGCGTAAACAGGGCCTCAGTCTGGTATAACAGAGAAGGTGTAAAGGTGGCCATGCACTTTACAACCCTCGCAAGACTTTTGTCTTGCGAGGCTTGTAAAGTAATTAAAAAACTTACGATCTGCCCATCTTGGACAGGCAGATCGTACTGGCGATCATCGCAAGCCCGCCCCCCTGAGGGGCGGGCTTCCGATGACTGCAATGCTGAACGGGCAGTGTGCGCGTGCGCACACTGGCCCGTTTGGTAGTTGTCGAACAAGCAGGCCACTAACCCGCCGAGAATTGTACGATTCTCGGCGGGTTTTCCAGTCTGCTTGTTCGACGGAAGACGTGCGACCGTACAGTAGAAACGGTTGCACGCCTTCCATACACTTTGCGCTTATCGTACGATCGCGGGATTTCCCGCGATTCTCGTACGATAATCGTACAGTGTATGGGCACCTTAAACAGGAACTGAGTCTGGTTTAATAGAGGTGTAAACAGGGCCTGAGTCTGGATTAACAGAGAAGGTGTAAACATGGCCCGAGTCTGGTTTAATAAAGAAGGTGTAAAGATAGTCTGACTCTGGTTTATTAAAGGAGGTGTAAACAGGGCGCCGATTCTGGTTTAATAAAGAAGGTGTAAACATAGTCTGAGTCTGGTTTATTAAAGGTGTAAACGGGGCCGAGTCTGGTTTAATAAAGAAGGTGTAAACATAGTCTGAGTCTCGTTTAATAAAGAAGGTGTAAACATAGTCTGAGTCTGGTTTATTAAAGGTGTAAACGCGGCCCGAGTCTGGTTTAATAAAGAAGGTGTAAACGGAGTCTGATTTAATAAAGGTGTAAACATGGCCCGAGTCTGGTTTAATAAAGAAGGTGTAAATAGTCTGACTCTGGTTTATTAAAGGAGGTGTAAACAGGGTGCCGAGTCTGGTTTAATAAAGAAGGTGTAAACATAGTCTGAATCTGGTTTATTAAAGGTGTAAACGGGGCCCGAGTCTGGTTTAATAAAGAAGGTGTAAACAGAGTCTGATTTAATAAAGAAGGTGTAAACAGGGCCCGAGTCTGATTTAATAAAGAAGGTGTAAACAGGGCCGGAGTCTGTTATAATAGAGAAGGTGTAGACAGGGCCTCAATCTGGTTTAGGGCCTGTTCACACGAGCAGTGGCACACAACCGCACAGCTTCTGGTGTGCGTGCGCCTGTACAGTGCCAATCCACTCGATCGAGCTGCATCACACCATTTCCTTTTTTTTTGTTAGAACTTTATTGGACTGTCACAAGTGACATTTCATTAAATTCTATGGGCTCACGGTGGTGCTGTACTTTTTTTTAAAAGCGCACATTACTGGAATGCGATATTGCGAACGGTTACCTTCCATCACAAGGCAAATTTGGCGTTCGAGCTGCGCTGGAAAAATTGGCCAGCACAACCCGAACGCATATGGTGTGCACGAGCCCTAATAAAGAAGGAGGAAACAGGGTCTGAGTCTGGTTTAACCAAGGTGTAAACCAGCTCAAATCTGTTATAATATAGAAGGTGTAAACAGGGTCGGATTCTGTTTTAATACAGAGGGTGTAAACAGGGTCTGGTTCTGTTTTAATAAAGAAAGTGTAAACAGGGTCCGATTCTGTTTTAATACAGAGGGTGCAAGCGTGGTCCGATTCTGTTTCTAAATGGCAGCAAACAACGTTGAGGGCCCAGTGAGAAGTGCGAAAAGTCGCGTGTCCCCCGCAGGCCGTCTTCCGGTGTCACACAAGGCGGCGTGCAGTGGCCCCTGGGCCGGCACACACACAGTTAAGGCTGAGGAATGCAGGAGTGTGGAATGTGCATGTAGATGAGACGGATGCTAATCTCATGCTAATGAGCTCTGTGGCTGGGAACAGGCCGAGGTTATTGGCTTCCCCGGATCCTAATCCAGACGGCTTCTTGCTGCTTGTGAGAACTCCGAGTCCCCCCTTCTCTCTGTTCATGCTGCAGCCCGACATGCTGGATCACCCGGCGAAGGATCTCCAGGCTACCGGCCGACCCTCTCCCCTTCACTGAGGGGGCTGTGTGTGCGGGTGGGGGGGGACAGCCTTCCTCCTCCGGGATCCCCCTCCCTCCTCGCTGATCACCCTCTTTCTGGACTTATGGAGGAGTTGGTAGGGGCTGATCATGCCTAGGAAGGGGAATGGGCAGCTACCTTTACCGGATGGCTGGGAAGAAGCGAGAGACTACGACGGCAAAGTGTTTTATATCGATCACAATACCAGGCAGACCAGCTGGATTGACCCGCGGGACAGGTACGGGGACACCCCCATGTTTATTGTGTGATTGGGGGGCTCATGCTTTACATTCCATGTACAATGTAGCAGCTGTTGGGAGAGTTGTACGGTTCTGTTGTATCAGGAGGGGGAGGGGGAAGACAGGCAGGGCGGGGGAGGGGTATATGTAGCAGTCACTTTGGGTAATGAAAGGGGGCGGAGTCAGCTCAGGAATTTTGGGCTGTGTGAGAAAAAAAAAGGGAAAAATGTGGTGAGGCAACATAGAGAAGCTTCTACCCCGGGGTGGGGAGGGGGCATGCTCACTTCTTTCCCACACTCCCTAAACACCATTCTAAAGCACTCACTTTCATAAATGGCCTTTTTTGTTCAAATAAAATATTTGCATTCCTCCCTCTATTTTTTTAATGCTTTGTTACATCTCAGCGCTGCTGATCTCTTACGGCCTTTTTTGCAACTTCCTGTCTACATGCATGTGATATGTGCATCAGCTCAGTCGCTTGAGGTCTTTGGAGACCTGTGGGAGGGGGTGACAATGCATGAGATGGGCAGAGTGTTGTCACCCTGTCACAGGAAGTGGCTGCACAGGGTCAATCATGGCATGTATTATTTGGAAGCTGAAAAACTCCCCATGCAGTGGGGCTGCCCCTGCACTGCCATTGTTAATTGTTCCTTTAGGTCAGGGGTAAGCAAATTCCGGCCCTCCAGCTGTGGTGAAACTACAAATCCCATGAGGCTGACAGCTACAGGCATGATTCCCGGAGGCAGATGCATTATGGGTGTTGTAGTTTCACCACAGCTGGAAGGCTGAAGTTTGCCCACCCCTGATTTATGTCAAGGGTACCTGAAAAAGGGACTTCTATTTACCTGATCCCTGCAGTCCACAAGACCGGGCACCCACATGGGCCCGCTGACATAATCACATAGCATTATACATGGGGACTCTAAGGGGCAGTCCACAAGCCAGAGACGGGATCAGGTAAGTACAATTGCTTTTCCCAATACCCCTAGACCAGGCAACCTCGGCACTCCAGATGTGAAACTACAAGACCCATGAGGCATTGCAAGACTCAGCCACAGGTATGACTCCCACAGGCATGATGGCATTTGTAGTTTCACCACACCTGGACTGCAGAGGTTGCCTACCCCTGCCCTAGAACTAAAGGAGCATTTAACCCTTGCAGTGCAGGCACAGCCCCACAGTTTTTTGTGCTTTCCCCGGAGTTGGGCTTTAATGAAAGCTGCAGATGTAAAACTATTATGTATTACTTTTGAAGTGACATTAAAGGAGAACTAAAGCCTGCAAATGGCGCGGCTCCAGCAATGAAAAGGCTGCGAGCTCCGGGTGCAGGGTCTTCGGCCATCTTGGCTGGTCAGTGCGTGATACATGCGCAGCTCAATGTAAAGAAGGTTACGAGCAGGTAAATGTTTTATTGTTTTGTAAATCACTGCGCAAACTGTTGGCGCTATATAAATCTTGTATAATAATAATATTGTTGAAGAGACGTGGCGTCGTAGAGAGACGCTGTCCCGCTCGCAGTTTTCTACTTTTTCACTTTAGTTCCGCGGTAACAAGTTGAAGATTATATACGATCTTAGGGATTGCGATCACATTCCTTTTTGCTGGTAAAGTGCAGCGTGCCGCTCATGCTAAAAATGTCTTTTTTTTTTTTTTTTTTGTTTTTTAAGGCCAAAGCCTT